ACACATTATAGCAAGACCACTGTCCGCCCTTTCCATATCAGGAAATATAGGCGATTATAGAAATTTATTATTATTAATGTTGTTGTTGCTACTCTTGTTGTTGTTTGTAGCAGCCACTCGAAGGGGACCTTCAGCCACTTACCTTCGATAATAGGCAATAAATACTTGAAAATGTGCGAGCAGAAGAGTACACAACTATAGAGAGCAAAGCAAGCTAGCAACTATGGCTGCTGCTGATGGATGTGGGGTTGAGGTTGAGGGTGTGGGACATGAAATCGAAACACAGAAGAAAAGAAAAAGTAAACACAAACATAGGCAAGCAAAATAACAAAAATAACACAACACATGTTTCTCCGCCATCTCCTTTGATATTCTACACATTGATTATTACTACACAGCTACGCCGACACCAGCCCAGCAGCCACATGAACGAAGAACAGAACAAATGGTTGGCATTTCCCCGTTCATGTGTTTATTCCACACATCATCATCAGCACCATCGTCGTCATTCGAACTATCCCCCACACACCACAACTAAAGGCCAACCATCAACAACATCATCCAGCATCCATCTACATTTAAATAAGTCAGGCGGTTAAGCCACTTGAGATTGGAAATGGAATCATTGAATTTTGTACTGAAAAATATGTGCACTTTTTTCGCCATCCATCCATCCAGCCAGCCACCACCACCACACCACGAACAACGACAATGAATTTAGGAGGAGTCTGTTGTGGTTTCATATCTTTCTTTTTTACATTTGTTTTTTGTGTTCTTTTCTTCGTCGTCTTCCTTTTTGTATGTTGTTCGAGGCGCGGCGCAGCGCAGCTGAGAACAGTTCGGCGGCGCTTGTCTATATTTACCTCCTTGGGGATGAGAGCTTTGCTTAAAAAATTGTTTAAGCTATCAACAAATTATTGTTGTTGTTGTTTAGTCGTCGTTGTTGTTGCTGCAGCTGCTACCGCTACTGCCGTTGCTGATATCGATAACGTTCGCTTGCTTCCTGCTGCAACTGCTACTGCCATCCAATGTTTGTTGTATTTTGATTGTTGTTTATGCTACTGCTTACAACAACTTTTATTTTTTTTTTAACTATATTTTCTTGTTACTTTTTGCGGCAAGTTCGCTGTTGCTTCACTTAGTTATCTGGCAATTCTAAAGAAAGCATTAACACAGACGTCGACAACTTCGGTTACACACCACATTACTTCTTCACAACGGCAACAACAAAACAATTATTGTTACCATTGTTTTAAACATTTGCAAAGAAGTCGAAGAAGAACAAGAACATATATTTTAGCAAATTTTGATTCTTTTTGTTTTAAACTTTTAATAATAATAGGCTAGCCTGCGAGAACCACGACCGAACGACCGACCAATGTACGAGGAACGAACGTTTATATGTTTCTTTTGTGCGATCTCTTTATGTACATATTTCTTCTTGCTACTGCTTGCTTTTTTGATTTTATGTGTATGTATTTTATATGTGGTTGGTTGTGTAGTGTGGATATTTAGATATTTCACAGTAAAAGCACCTTTTTTCTTTTCCTTTAATTCTCTAATTCTTCTTTTCGTAATTTTGTTTGTATATTGTAGTGGATTCTTAATTCGTTTATTATTTTTGTTCACTTTTATTACAACTATTTGTTAGTACGGATGCATTTTATTTAAATTAATTTAAAACAAAAACGCTCGACGAACACAACCTTCTTTGTTCTGGACTTTTCAACGACTGAAGAACAAGACAAATTCAAAAACGTTCCACCTGCTAACGAATGGGCGGAGAAGACAAAATGGCCGATAAAGATGAACTCAAAGTGGGACAACCGAAAAGTTTACGAATGAGGTGGGATGGAGACTAAAGGAAACCGTGTTGTTTACAACACACACACTCACAGCAGCTGCAGTCAGAGAACCGAGCCATATTGTTAATGAGTGACGGCATTGTAATATATACATGTCGACTACGTCGAAAATCTCGAAATCGATATTGATTTGACAAAATCAAAAGATCAAAAAGTCAATTTTTTTAGTCAAAGGCAAAAGTGGAATATTCTAAAAGTCGACTTTTACTCACGACTACATATCTCCCTACTATTAAGATTCTCTAAATGACACTAAACAGGAAGTCATAAAATTACTGGTTGTTGGCGGCGTTGCCCATGAAATAGGTAGAAGTACGTCGATTTTTGACTAATATTTTAATCGAAATGAATACGCCCATTAAGGGGACCCCCCCATTCTCGGGGTCAATTTTTTTTTTTTTTTTTTTTTTTTGATTTAATTCGAATCTACACTAATTCAAGAATGTCCCAAATTTTTTTACAAATTTTCAAGTGAAAATCTCAAGAACTCTTGAAGATATAGGCGATTTATTGTGTCAGCATCAAGTCACGGCTAAAGGGCTTCTCAAACTTTAAACGCGTTTTTCTCTTTTGTGAATGGCGGGCACGATAACTCAAAAACTAATAACCCAATCGATTCCAAATTTTTACACGTTTCTCTGTGAGTGTATAGCTATCGTATGTACTAGGATAAAGCCAATCGGTCATGGTATAATAATAGAAGGTAACAGCAAGTGTTGTTGTACAAAAAACGATACAACAACCACATGGAAATTTGTTGTTGCAAGTTCTACTAGTGTCAACTCATTTGACAGAAAAATGTAAACAAACAAACAAATTATCATCAAATTTTTTTTATTTTAAAAATGAAATATTTTCGAATCCTCAAAATAAAAATTGAAAAACATGAATGAAAATCTATCAAATTTATATTTCTATCGCTTCCACATCTTTCCTATAATTGAGCCATTGCTATATATATGTGTAACTCATATGAAAATGCTGGGAATAGCGAGTTATTCCTTGAAGAAAGATTTGCTTCCTCAAACTTTCCCAGCAGGCAGATTGAGTAAATTAAATACGGGAGCACATTTAATAAAGAACAATTTCAAATTGTATGCGTTCCCAATTTTCCTGTTGGGTGATTTTTAAAAACATAATTTGTCAAATTCATATTGACACTAGTATTACGTTGGAATCAAATCAGCTGGGATTTGCTGTTACCTTTTATAATTGTACCATGCCAATCGGTGAAGATATTCCTTTTTTTAACTTGGTTTTTGGTCAAAAATTGGCGATTTCCCAAAATATTTTTTCAAAGGTCCGCCATTTTGTTAATTTTTGAGCGAAGTCAATAATCCTAGTTCATACGAGAGCCAGACATGTACTCTTTCTAACAACGTTGGAATTTTCGGATTCCGATGTTCCTGTGAGGAGTTATCATGCCCGCCATCAAAAATAAGGACTTCTACTTAATTACAAAAAACAACAACAAAACAATTACAAAATTTTTTGTAAATAATTTTTCCTCTCTTTTAAATCTTCAAATATATATGTGCAAAGTTACAAACCTTAACAATCATTGGTATTGATTTACCAGCCCATTGAAAATCTTGAAAAATTAAAATCGAGAATGGGTGGGGTTCCCTTAAGGCATATTTATGCTATGTTCTGACGGGCATTCGAACAACGTAGTTCGCTCTCAGATGGCCTTTTTCCGTACTGCAAGAATCTACTACTTTGTACTACGATAACAAATTTTCCTTTATGCTATCGAAGAAAATAGTAAAATCGAGTAGATTCTTGCAGTACGGGAACAGACCAAGAATTACATACATGAATTAACCCGTTCATACAACACTATTCTTAATTCATGTCATCAGAGTTTTCGTTATCAAATTTCTTGTTTCTCCTTTTACACCGAAATCTCAACTTATTTGTGTGTTTTTAATACATTTTTATATTTTCTCAATTCAAATGTCACGTACTGTCACATTTAAAAATTTTGAAAATTTTTTGTTTGAGTTTCCCCACATTTGTTTCTTGTTTTGTACGCTAATTAGAACCAAGGGAAAAGAAATGCATATTCTATTATGTAGAAAACAAAATTTACATTGTGCTGCATATATAATATCTATACAATTTATTGCTTTTCATTCATCATTTTTAATTTTTCTGAAAAAGTTTGAAAATTTTATAAATATTTTCATGCTGTCAAAATTAATTTATTTTCGATAAATACTCTCAATTGTTAGGGATGGGACAAATTTATTGGTTATTCAGAGAGTGTTTCGAATTGAACAACGTACAAAAGTCGGTGTTCGCTCAGACAATTTTGTATGGGGAACTAAGTAATTACTTCATAATTAAGGGTCGAACAACGAATGAGAGAGCGAACGACCCTCGTCTGTACATGGCATTACAAGGTAGTGAAATCCAGTAGATATACGTTATTAATTCCATTACATATATGTCTAATAAATCCTCACAGAGGTTGCTAGCCCGTTTCCAGAACATTAAAGAATTTGCTGCTTATTGAGATTTTCCATTTCTTCTTTAAATAAAACTAATATATATTTTTATGATTTGTTTTCAGAACACCTCTACCTTGTTGGCTATATTGTCAGAATAAATAAAAAAATAAAATTAAATTTTATAGGACATCTGTTTGTACTGTAGAGTTGCTTATGTTTTTTCCAACCAAAAATTAAGACAACTCCATTATCCATTAAATAATGTACACGATTTAAATCTGAAGAAATAAACAAAAAGATATTTATATTTAAAAAAAATTGAATTTTTAGTTGCTTTAGTTGTGACCACCAGTATATATATACAATTTTTTATCTTTATGATATCGTGTAAAATTAGTAAATTCTTATAGTTCTGGAACAAATCATATACTAAACATTTCGATTAGTAAAATATCGGTTTTGCAAACCGTGTTGATTTATGTCAATTTTGTTTTTATCACGACAATCATCAATCAATTTCTTTTCATTCTTCTTTCGCAAAAACAGATTTTGTGCGTGTGTGTGTTTCACAAAGAAAGAATTTCAAACTGCCGGTTACGATACGATTTTATTCCATTGTTTCCGATTGTCATTGTCAGATAACAACGCAAAGTTTTGGACAGCTCCCACCTCCCATCCTATAATGGCCACATCAAAAATTAAGCATTTATTATCCTTCCGCCTGCCCAAGGAATTACTTCCCCAACATTATGAATTAAGACTGCAGCCGGATTTGTTGAATAAAACATTTTCGGGGAATGTTAAAATAAGACTGCAAATACTAAAACCGATCTCGTTTATACCGGTGCATTCAAAACTACTTACCGTTGAGACCAAAAATGTCCAACGGATATGTGACAATTCTGTGGTTACTGTGACACCGTCGCTGACCTACGATCATCCGGAATTTGAATATTGGGTAACGGAATTCGCTGAACCTTTAGATGAGGGAACGTATTCCATTGAATTGGCATTTAGTGGTTCTTTAGTGGACCGCATTGTTGGCTTCTATCAAAGTTCCTATTTGGATAAGGTGCGCAACGTCAAACGGTCAGTATGCAATCTGATAATATATATGTTTTCTCAATTGTGATGATTTATTGGCAATTTAGTTTTTCCCAATACCGCCTTATCATGTTATCGTAATAACAATGATTTATTATTGTTTTTTTACAATTTTGTAAAGCAGTGAAATTTATAAAAATGGAGATTCTGATCATACTTTATTTTTTCTTTAGATCAATAGCTACATCAAAATTTGAACCTACATATGCTCGACAAGCATTTCCTTGTTTTGATGAACCTTCCATGAAGGCTAGATTTGCTGTCACTCTAGTAAGACCAACTGGTGATGGTTACCATGCCCTTTCCAATATGAATGTGAAGGTAATTAGATTGCTGATATTTTTTAATTTATTTTATATTCTAAAATTTTATTTTCATTAATTTCAGTCCGAAATTGATATTGAACATAATTTAACCATGGTCAATTTTGAAGATAGTGTTCCCATGAGCACCTATTTAGCATGTTTTATTATATCGGATTTTGCCCATCAAGAGAAAACTGTACGTGGCATATTGCCAAATGCAGCAGATTTTCAAATGCGTGTCTTCTCGACATCGGCCCAAGTTGACAAAGTCAATTATGCCTTAAATGTGGGTGTTGGCATAACTGAATATTATATTGAATATTTTAATGTTTCATATCCTTTGCCCAAACTTGATATGGCTGCTATACCCGATTTTGTCTCGGGTGCAATGGAACATTGGGGTTTGGTTACATATCGTGAAACAGCATTGTTGTACGATAAGACAATTAGTTCGAGTGCTAATCAGCAGCGTGTGGCCACAGTTGTTGCCCATGAATTGGCCCATATGTGGTTTGGCAATTTGGGTAAGTAATTTAATTATTATTACTAATTGTTTTCTATATATGTATATGAAAATTTTGTTTTCAGTTACAATGAAATGGTGGAATGATTTGTGGTTAAATGAGGGATTTGCCACACATATTCAATATAAAGGTGTTAATCATGTCCATCCTAATTGGGATATGGTAAGTAGATGTGTATTTTGTATGCAGATGTTAGTAGTGGCATTTTGAATGACTTTCATGTTCGTCCTCAGACTCAGAAGCAATGTATGAGATATATTTTAAATTCTTGATATCAAATTGTTATGTATATTTTTACTCCTTATTTGTCTCCAATTCCAATCCAAACATAACCTCATTCCTTAACACATTCAGTACTATACTAACATGAAGCAGAAAATAATGAGCGAAATTTCATATATTCATATAAAATTATACGGCGATTTCGTTTTTTATTCTATCTTGTTTATGTAGTTGGACCAATTTATTATTTCCGAATTGCACGGTGTCATGAAACTAGATAGTACCCTCGCGTCTCATCCCATTGTCCTGACTGTTGAAAATCCTAATCAAATAACCGAATTATTTGATAGCATAACATATTCGAAAGGTGCCTCTGTAATACGAATGTTGGAGGATTTGGTTGGTTCTGAGAAATTCCGACAAGCCACCACCAATTATTTGAACAAATTGAAATATTCAAATGCTGAAACGAATGATTTCCTGAGTGAAATAGAAGCGTTGAAATTTGATTTTGGTGTTAAGTAAATGACACAAATATTTATTTAAATAGCTTAGCACCATCGATAATAATTTAATAATATTTTATATGCAGACTTATTATGAGAACGTGGACAGAACAAATGGGTTTACCAGTAGTCGAAGTTAAACGTCAAGGCGATGTATTTGTACTACAACAAAAACGTTTCTTTGCTAATCCAGAGGATTATAATGGTACCTATGATGACTCACCATTCAAGTAAGTTCCAATGATATGTTTCCAGGAAGGGTATTTTTATTCATTTAAGTAACAAATTTATTATAGCTATCGTTGGTCAATACCCATTACCTACTTTACAAATACCAACACTGAAGTTCAACGTACCATACTAAACTATGATGACCAGGAAGGTATGTATATTTGTAATATAATTTGGACTCATACTTGCAGAGGACATAACCCATTACCTTTCTATTTCTCTAGTTACTCTTAACATTCCCAATGAAATTGAATGGATTAAATTGAATAAAAATCAAGTGGGATATTATCTTGTCAATTATCCCCTTGATATATGGCAAGCACTTATCAATACATTAATATTCCGACGTGGTGATTTTACAAATGCTGATCGTGCCCATTTGATTAGTGACGCTTTTGCCCTGGCCGATGCTGGGCAATTAGATTACACTATTCCTTTGGATTTGAGTAAATATTTGAGAAAGGAATTGGATTATGTGCCCTGGAGTGTGGGCGCATCACGTCTTAAGAACATAACGAATTTACTTTATTCCACTGATATCTATAGTAAAGTTGTTAAATATGCACGTTTGCTTTTGAAGAATGTATGTGAATCTGTGACATGGGAAGTAAGTGCAGATCATTTGCAAAAGTATGTATATGCACGTTTGTTTTTTTAATTCAAATTTATTCCATAACAAATAATGGTTTATAACTGCAGTCTTTTACGTGTCACTGTGCTTAATTCGGCATGTAATTATGGTGATTCGATGGCCTTAGAAGAAGCTGGCAAACGCTTTAAAACTTGGCTGAACAATCCCTCGCAAAGACCCCATCCCGATATTCGTTCCATTGTTTATTACTATGGCATGAAGAGTGTGGGAAATGAGCAGAACTGGAATCAAGTTTGGGATATTTTTGTTAATGAAACCGACGCCCAGGAAAAAGCTAAACTTATGGAGGCATTGGCTGCCATTAAAGAGCCATGGATATTGCAACGGTATGAAACTATTCCGTTAATTTAAATTGTTTATATTTCATCATTCATACTCTCACATTTTACTTTTGCAGTTTCATCAACATGTCCTGGGATGAAAACAATGTCCGTGGCCAAGATTATTTCACGTGCATGCAATATATTTCGGAAAATCCCATAGGACAACCCTTGGTGTGGGATTATGTACGTGAAAATTGGCCAAGTCTGGTGAAACGATTCGGCATCAATGAACGTTATTTAGGTCGCATGATACCGGCAATAACATCACGTTTTACTACCCAAACAAAATTAGAAGAAATGGAAGCATTCTTTAAGAAATATCCTGATGCCGGAGCAGGTACTGCTGCCCGCAAACAAGCTTTGGAAACGGTTAAAAATAACATTAAATGGTTACAAGTGAATCAAGAGCCAATACGGAAATGGTTGGATTCTCAACCTGATTTATAGAATCGAATTAAAAATAAATAAGGTATAATTATTGATATTGGTTATGTAAAGTGGATTATTTTTTTAAATAAAGGAGTGGACCCAAAAATGTTTTTTTACGCTCTGTAATTCACAATTATGGAACGAAACTCACGAAATTTTACATGGAACAAATGACCAAGTAACACACCAAATTCACTGTTACATAAATTATTAATTACAACTTACAAGTAACTGCCAGAATTTCAATTGTATCGATTGACAGTAGACTCGAAACAACTGTGAAACTTGAGAACTACAGCTTCCATGTAGTCAAAGATTTTATGTACCTTGGTACCGCCATAAATAAAACTAATGTCATCAGTTTTGAAATTCGGAAAAGAATAGTGTTGACCAACAGATGCTACTATGGTCTAAGTAAGCCATTTAGAAACAAGGCCACCTCTCGCCAAACAAAACCCACTCTCTACAACACGCTGATGCTACCCGTACTGGTGTATAAATCAGAAGCATGGGTACTTGCGCAAGCAGATGAGGTAGCTCTTGGAGTGTTTAATAGAAAAAAATTCCGAAAAAAATCTATGGGCCGATCTGCGTCGATGGTGAATATCGTCTTCGAATGAACCATTAGTTGTACTATCTATTCTCGGACATCGGCATTGTCAGATGTAACGAGCTGCAGTGAGTAAGTGGCTAGGCCATGTTGTGAGAATTGATGAGGATGCACGTTTGCTAGTTGTGTAGGGTATCATATGGTCGGTCCCGCCCGGCTTTGCTGTTCCCTTCAAAGTGTTTTCAATTACATTTGACAAAAATTGTTAATTTGTTTCAAGAAAGTTTTTATTTTTTATAATTCTGTGTGTTTTCATTACGTTTAAGTACGTTACTAACAAAATTCATATACATACATAGATACATTCATCATCACTATTATTATTAATAATAAATAAATTTGCTGTTTAAAATTCTTTGGATTATATTAATTATTAGACTTAATTTGTGTATGTGTGTGTTGATCTCTTCATTTTGTTCGTTCATTATTGCTATTATTATTATTTTTAGCATTAATAATTTGACATGTGATATCATTTTATAGCAAAAAAGAAATTTATGCAATAGTTAATACAAAAAAATATGATTAAATTATTAATAATTATAATTACATATACAATAGAAAAAAATGTTTTTTTTTATAAAATTAAGACAATTAAATACATATACTTCATTTTTGGGTGGGTGGACTTTGTGTGTGTGTGTTTTATTATTTTGAATACAAAATACTTATTCAGATCTACGCGCTTCGTTACGTAGCCACTCGGCAATGATTTTATAGTTTTGATCCATCCAATTTACATTATCCTGTACATATTCGAGTATTTGTTCCACGGAACGACTTGAATCTTTCAATTCGTTTTTAATGAATGCTTCCAAATCGGCAAATTGATATTTGGTATTGAAACGTTTTGTGACAACTTCCAGGACCATGTTATAGGTTAACATTGCATTACTTAGACTATAAGTGAAATAAATAGTTATGTATAGAAAACTATATTTTTAAAAATAAACACTTACTATGCTTTCATGTACTCCCAATTGGTGTGCATAAAGTCAAATGCAATTTTTTGCCCCACCACATTTGATGTTACACCCATGAATACCCAATATACATCCTGTTTTCGTATATCATCCTCTCCGCTAATGGAATATTTTAAAAATCTTGAGATAATCCATGGTTCACGTGAACAACCCAAGGCGGAGAGTAGTATTTCCTTTTCGGTTGATACCGACGATTTTTTGAAGCGTTCAAAGGCAAAATCCCATTCACCCTCAGTGCCAAATGCGATGGCCGTACAATAAACAATACTACGCAGATCTGGAGATATGCTATATGCGAGATAAAATAAAAATGTTATTGACGTAATTTGAATGCTGATTTAGTAATACTTACGGATTATTGGTATCTGGATTTGGTACTTGCATCCAATTTTGAAAATGTCGAACACTTTCGGCTATGCACTGACGATGACCCAAATGACAAGCCATATTGAGAATTTCGGCACGTTTAAAATGTTCCAGCATATTATTTTCGTTTTTCGATTCGGAAAAGCCCAATTGATTGTAAACGTTATCTAATAGTTTGAGTAGGTATCTCTGTAAGTAGTTTTTAAAAAGTAGTTTTAAAAATTATGGTGATATTAAAAATGTAAATAATGAAATAAGACACACAATCAGTGAGTTTTGGGGGAGGTTTATAAATGAAATGAACAGAAGTTGGCGTACTTTTCTACAAAAAATTTCAAGATCTACAACACGCTGATGCTACCCGTACTGGTGTATAAATCAGAAGCATGGGTACTTGCGCAAGCAGATGAGGTAGCTCTTGGAGTGTTTAATAGAAAAAAATTCCGAAAAAAATCTATGGGCCGATCTGCGTCGATGGTGAATATCGTCTTCGAATGAACCATTAGTTGTACTATCTATTCTCGGACATCGGCATTGTCAGATGTAACGAGCTGCAGTGAGTAAGTGGCTAGGCCATGTTGTGAGAATTGATGAGGATGCACGTTTGCTAGTTGTGTAGGGTATCATATGGTCGGTCCCGCCCGGCTTTGCTGTTCCCTTCAAAGTGTTTTCAATTACATTTGACAAAAATTGTTAATTTATTTCAAGAAAGTTTTTATTTTTTATAATTCTGTGTGTTTTCATTACGTTTAAGTACGTTACTAACAAAATTCATATACATACATAGATACATTCATCATCACTATTATTATTAATAATAAATAAATTTGCTGTTTAAAATTCTTTGGATTATATTAATTATTAGACTTAATTTGTGTATGTGTGTGTTGATCTCTTCATTTTGTTCGTTCATTATTGCTATTATTATTATTTTTAGCATTAATAATTTGACATGTGATATCATTTTATAGCAAAAAAGAAATTTATGCAATAGTTAATACAAAAAAATATGATTAAATTATTAATAATTATAATTACATATACAATAGAAAAAAATGTTTTTTTTATAAAATTAAGACAATTAAATACATATACTTCATTTTTGGGTGGGTGGACTTTGTGTGTGTGTGTTTTATTATTTTGAATACAAAATACTTATTCAGATCTACGCGCTTCGTTACGTAGCCACTCGGCAATGATTTTATAGTTTTGATCCATCCAATTTACATTATCCTGTACATGTTCGAGTATTTGTTCCACGGAACGACTTGAATCTTTCAATTCGTTTTTAATGAATGCTTCCAAATCGGCAAATTGATATTTGGTATTGAAACGTTTTGTGACAACTTCCAGGACCATGTTATAGGTTAACATTGCATTACTTAGACTATAAGTGAAATAAATAGTTATGTATAGAAAACTATATTTTTAAAAATAAACACTTACTATGCTTTCATGTACTCCCAATTGGTGTGCATAAAGTCAAATGCAATTTTTTGCCCCACCACATTTGATGTTACACCCATGAATACCCGATATACATCCTGTTTTCGTATATCATCCTCTCCGCTAATGGAATATTTTAAAAATCTTGAGATAATCCATGGTTCACGTGAACAACCCAAGGCGGAGAGTAGTATTTCCTTTTCGGTTGATACCGACGATTTTTTGAAGCGTTCAAAGGCAAAATCCCATTCACCCTCAGTGCCAAATGCGATGGCCGTACAATAAACAATACTACGCAGATCTGGAGATATGCTATATGCGAGATAAAATAAAAATGTTATTTACGTAATTTGAATGCTGATTTAGTAATACTTACGGATTATTGGTATCTGGATTTGGTACTTGCATCCAATTTTGAAAATGTCGAACACTTTCGGCTATGCACTGACGATGACCCAAATGACAAGCCATATTGAGAATTTCGGCACGTTTAAAATGTTCCAGCATATTATTTTCGTTTTTCGATTCGGAAAAGCCCAATTGATTGTAAACGTTATCTAATAGTTTGAGTAGGTATCTCTGTAAGTAGTTTTTAAAAATTATGGTTATATTAAAAATGTAAATAATGAAAACAGACACACAATCAGTGATTTTTGGGGGAGTTTTATAAATGAAATGAACAGAAGTTGGCGTACTTTTCCACAAAAAATTTCAAGATCCAGGTGGTTTTGTTTTCACATAACCCACCCACCTGACCGTTCATAATGACATTTTTACTTTTAATTTTAGAATGACTGCCCCCTAAACAAATGTTTTTTTATATCACAACCAACATCTTTCCATCACTTTTTCTTACCTTAAATACATCATATTCACCCATACTACCAAACATTGCATCCAAAAAATTAAACGCATTCATGGCTGCCTTCCATGCCGTTGTATCATCTTCGTGTATCAAATATCTGGTCAAATTCAATGCCAAATTATAACTCAAATATCCACCACGCGCCAAATTCATAGCATCATCGATTAGTTGGGCCCGATTTGAGGGTGATATTTGTCTGAATTTCTTCACATCCATTAGATGGTCCATTATTGCCTGCCAATTTTGTATTTCATAATTGACACGATAATAACCGCTCTGTTGTATATTGAAAATAAACCAATCGGCTGCCGATAAATTACGGCTTTCAATTTCATAGATTTTTGAACGTGGTATCCACGTTATTGGTCGGGTATTTTCAAAATCCAACTCCTCAGCTGTTGTATAGGTAATCGGTATCCACCAAAGAGGATCTTCTTGTGTGACATTCGCAGTGTTATGGAATTTCTTGTAGACAAAACGTTGCTGTTCCAAGCGTATAACATTTGTATTGGGATGTTTGGTGACCTGCACCACTGGGAATCCCACCTGCAATGTCCAAGTATCCATAATATCTTTGACGGTGGCATTGCGATCCAATAAACCTTCAGATTTTGCTGCCAATGTAAGGAAATGCCATAAATCGTCTTGTTCAGCGGAACGATAAGATCTGCATGCAATTAAAACAAATTCAATAGTTTCATATAAAATAACTAATATAGTTTTTTACTCACAATTCTTTTAAGTAGTTATGTAGACCCTTGCGAAATACTGGCGACGTTAGAAAATGCCCCATCATTCGAATTAACGTTGAGCCTTTGTCATACGATATTCTATCGAATATTTCATTAATTTCCTCTGGATTTCCTACTTCGATGGAAATTTTATGAGACGAAGACATAGCATCCAATTGAAATACATTCTGCAGAGTATTAACAACAAACTGATCCATTACATGCCAATCGGGTTCTATGCTATTCAAAGACTCATATTCCATATAGCTGGCAAAGCCCTCATTAAGCCATATATCACTCCACCAGGTGGGCGTCACCAAATTACCAAACCATTGATGAGCTACTTCATGGGCAACCACAGTGGCAACTCGCTGTTTATATGTAGATGCGGATACCCCCTTTTCAAAAAGCATACTTGTTTCTCTAAAGGAAGTTTTAAAATGTTAATGTCATTAAAATAGCATTCGATCGTTGTTTTGTCTCACCTATATGTAATTAGACCCCAATTTTCCATAGCTCCCGAGGCAAAATCTGGCAGTGCAATCATATCAATTTTTGGCAAGGGATATGGTATCCGAAAGAAATCTTCAAAAAATTTCAGAGCTTTGGGTACCATACTCAAAGCATATGAAGCCGATTGTATGGCATCATGCCGAGCCCATACGGAAAATGTTCCATTCGATAAGTGGCTAAAATCCGATATACTATAGGCTACCAAATATGTTGACATTGGCACCGATTCAGCAAAATAATCCCATTCATAGTCGGGTAAAGTGTCACTGGAAATACAAATTTCGAGAAGTCGTTAAATTATTTGAATAACAAATTATGATATTTTTTTAATATTAATACTGAATTCCAAAGTGTTAGGCGTGAAAAAGAGTAAAATTTGGAAAATGACTGGAAACATTCTTGGCATCTTCAAATTGTGAAATTTATACAGTTTACTGTACCAGGTCCATTATTAATGACGGACCTGGTGGTTAGATACCAGAAGGAGTGAACCGATTAGTCCTATCATCGGACTTGGGGTCCGAAAATCGTGTAATCTATTTCATTCATATGAGATTCACATATTTTCAAAAGATCTTCAGACCTAGGTTTGAATTCGACCCAGTACTCAAACACGTCATGTGCGTATTACAAGTTTACACAATTTTTAATCCTTAGGGGAGGAGATACCCTATTGGAAACTAAAACCTATATTAGTCGTTTTAAAGATAATAGCTGCAAGTACTACACAGGTTTCATTAATCCCAATGGAGAGGATGTTAGAACTTGGAAGTTCTATAAAATGTCAGTTACGTTGACGCTTGAGAGAGAAGAACCCGACCCACCCAGAGCAGAAGTTTGTAACCTTCTGGGGGAGATAAATGACATATGTGACCTGGTCATGGGGGAAAGAGCGACTCTAATGTTTAATTTTCAATTTGGGATGAGAGTTACTCTTAGTCTCAAGGAGTCAGATACGACTGGGTTTTTGGAAATTCGTTCTAGAATGTACTAAAATTACCTAATATGGTATCATCTGTATTTGGCGAACCGGTAGAACTAGAACTCTTGAAGTTGGAATTAAGGTCACTGAAGTAGAATAGATGTACCAAAAGTTTTTTTTTCGAAATTCGAACTATAAGTATACGAAAAAGTATTAAAATGTACCAAATTTGGTACAATTTGGATTTCGAATCATAGTTGAGAAGTAGCGTCGATATAAGAAGGTGGTTTTGGAATCTCATATGTATACGAAAAGTACTAAACAGTGTTAAATTTGGTACAATTAGAATTGGAAGGAACGTATGGTGCTGGAATCCTGATATTTGAAATTAACATTACCATCGGAGGATTGGGATATATAGGATTGGAATATGTAGGTAACTTCGAAAATTTGTGATTATTTGAACGAAAAGTACTAAATGGTACCACATTTGTTACAATTTAATTTTGAACCGATAGAGCTGGAACACTGTAATTTGGTTATAAGATTACCACTGCATTGTAGAATTAGGGGAATGCTGGTAGTTTTCGTACTTATGCGTACTAAATTTGATACAATTTGAGTGTATCGATAGTGCTGGAATCCTGAAATTTGGAGTTATGATCACGTTTGGGATGTAGGATTGGGGTATGTATGAAGTTTTAGAAAATTCTACTAATGTGTACTAAATGGTACTAATTTTGGTACAATTTGAAAAATAAGATTTCTATTGAATTTTATGATGTAGGTAGAGTAACTTCGGGTAATGTGGACCATGCGTCAAATGTGGACCACCCCCCATATCTAAGAAAATGCTTGAAATATGTCAATGCCGCCTTGATAAATGTTTTCCTAAGTAGTGAAAACAAACATCAAACTTGGTTTTTAATAAATAATTGCAAAGTTGAAAATTTAGTAGTAGAAAACGTAGCTGTGATTGTAAAAGTGTGATTTGAAATTTTTTGGGAACAATAGTCGAACGTTTTTGCAAAATAGTCGAACACTTGTTTTTACCCGAATATAAAGAAGTTATGTGGGTTAACAAAAATATACTTTTGTTGCAATTCGTTTTTGCAAAAACAAAAATATACGTTTGGTTTTCTGTAATTACTTTTGTCTGCAATTACAATCGGTGATTTTTAAATTTTTAGTCATTTTTGAAGCCGATAATTATTTTTAAATAAAAATATTCAATGTCGGGTAATGTGGACCACTATAAAAATTGGGACCTTTTTATGAGGACGAGTTCGAAACATGGGCGCATTTAATATGCGAGTAGGTATTATATCCTCTGAAAACTCGATATGCGGTTGGGTAATGAAGCAAGGACCTTCAAAATACCGCAAATGGGGTGGTACCCTTAAATGGGGGATATTCCAAAACATGGACCCATATATTTTTGCATTCATTGTTACCCAAGAGTGCAATTAATTGAAATTTATCACAATTATTCCACAACCTACCTTTAACATACTGATCCTCATTACCCACACTTACTGGTCCACATTACCCGCCAAGTTATTTTTATTTTCAGTTTAGAGTTTTTTGAAATATAATGCAATAACATTTTTATGGACAAATATATATAATTTTTGACCTGGAATATAATTACCCAACAAATCTACCATGTTGTGAAAACAATTTGTTTTTATTTTTTACCGTTGTTACGCCCACAATATAAAAAAAAAATGAAAACGGTGGTCCACATTACCCGAAGTTACTCTAGTAATGGAAATTAGTACTTATGTGGAATGGAAATTAGTACAAAATTTGATACAAATTGTATTTATGTCATCCGAAATAGCTGGAATCCTGAAATTTGAAATTAAGATAACTTTTGGGGAGTAGGGGTATGTAGAATATTTTGGAAAATTTTATAGAGTACTAAACGGTACTAAACTTGATACAATTTGGATAAGGTGAAGCGATAGATCTGGAATTCTTAAATTTTTAACACAGATTACTGTTGAAGTGTAGGATTTGGGTATGTAGGAAGGAAGTTTTGGAAATTCGTACTTATGAGGTCTTAATGGTACTAAATTTGGTAAAATATGGATTTGGGTGAATCAATCGGCCGGGAATATTGAAATTGGGAAAAATTCTTTCTACCTGATTGTTGAGGTGGGTTCTTATTGAAATTTATATTAACACTAGATTGCCGAAAGCGGTCATTTTGACAGTTTTTCAATTTCAAGTACAAAGTGGCGTAGGGGATGATAGATACCAAGCAACGGCTCTGATTGGCTTTAACATGGCGAAGCCCAGGCTTATCTTGGTCCCTCTTTCATCTCAATTGTGGACACTGACCTCCCCGCGGTGCCACCTGGGGAGCTATTCTCATCACCCGATGAAATAAATTTTTATCAAAAATTTTATCAAATGATGACAACAAAGAAATTGGCCTAAATAGTGAGCTAACATGTGCCGCGAGTTCACCCATAAGAACTATAAAAAATGGGTTGAGGCGTCGGGTTAGTTGTCCACTCTCGGAAAACCCAACCTACTATGAAAAAGCAAAGAAAAAGAAAACCAAACCCCCCTAATGTTGACGACCCCCGCAAACGTATAAAGGACCACGATCTGCGAATCTGCACTTGGAATGTGCGCACGTTGTACAGAACAGGGGCAGTGTTCGCTTTGGCGGATATACTCAAGAAGTACAAAGCCGATATTATTGCCTTACAGGAAATGCGATGGAAAGGGACAGGTGTAAGCCTTCATGATGAAACATCCGACAACGGCATGAGGTTGATTGACTTCGCGGCAGCAAAAAAACATGGTAGTTAGCAGCACCAGATTAAAGCATCTCGATATACACAAGGCCACCTGGATTTCTCCTGATCAAGTAACGAGAAATCAAATTGATCATGTTGTGATAGACGGAAGGCATTCATTCAGTGTTTTAGACGTCCGATCGATCCGAGGAGCGAATATCGATTCGGACCATTACCTTGTGGCAGCCAAGGTACGCACCCGTCTTAATGTTGCAGCAAAGGTGCGATCTAATACAACACGGAAACTCGACGTCGAAAAGCTGCAAACACAACAGGTAGCCGAGGCCTACTCCGCTCAACTTACCCATCTGCTTGAAGAAAGCACTTCTTGTCCCGATAATAGTATAGAAGCACAATGGCAAAGAATTGCCCACTCCCTACAAACTGCAGCAAAAAGAACAATTGGGTACCAAAAACCACCACCAAGAAATCCATGGTACGATCAGGAGTGTCGTAATGCTACTGATGTGAAAAACGCAGCGTATAGGGCAACCCTGCAGACAGTAGCAACACGTAACGTGATGGAGAATTATCGGGAGAAAAGGAGAGAGGAGAAACATGTTTTCAGAAAAAAGAAGAAAGAACAAGAAAAACGTGATTGTAAGCAAATCGAGATGTACAGGAGTCAGAATGAAGTCCGGAAATTCTACTAACGAGTAAAACACCAAACAGAAGGCTTTGGTGTAGGCACATCCTCCTGTAGAGATGAAGAAGGAAACCTGGTGACAGATACAGACAGCGTGTTGAGGATCTGGAAGGAGCATTTCGAACAGCTGCTAGTATCAAATAGTGGCGATGAAGAAGATACCCCAGAACCAATAAGAGATGATGGTATAGAGTGTATACCACTTAGCCAAGATGAGGTCATAAAAGCAATTAATCGGCTCAAGAACAACAAAGCAGCAGGAGCCGATGGGTTACCAGCCGAACTATTCAAAACTGGTGGCCAGATGCTGGTCAGGAGCATGCACCAGCTGATTAACACAATTTGGCTAGATGAATGCTTGCCCAATGATTGGAACCTCAGCATCCTGTGTCCCGTGCACAAAAAAGGAGACAAGACAAGATATGTGCCAACTATAGAGGAATAAGTCTCCTTCCCATCGCATATAAAGTGCTATCCAGTGTGCTGTGTGAACGATTGAAGCCAATGGTCAATGACATCATCGGACCATACCAATGCGGCTTCAGACCTGGCAAATCCACCATTGACCAGATTTTCACTCTGCGCCAAATCCTGGAAAAGACCCACGAAAAACACATCGACACATACCACCTATTTGTCGACTATAAAGCCGCATTCGACAGCCCTATCCGTTCAGAGGTGTTTAAAGCCATGTCTGCGTTCGGCATTCCTGCAAAATTAATACGGCTATGCAGGATAACTTTAAGTGGCACAAGGTCAGCCGTTAAAGTAGGAAAGGATCTATCGGAGCCCTTCAATACTGAACGAGGATTCAGACAAGGTGACAGTTTGTCGTGTGATCTTTTTAACATCCTACTGGAAAAGGTCATACGATACGCAAAGGTGAACAGAAATGGCACTCTGTACACCAAACAACATCATTTACTCGCCTACGCCGATGACATCGATATAATGGGTCGAACATTACGAGCGGTAACAGCCACCTTTGAACAAATTGAAAAGGAGTCTGCCAAAGTGGGTCTGGCAGTAAACGGCGAGAAGACCAAGCTGATGGTATCAACGCGCAAGACGTCCAGTAGACTCGGACCAACTGTGGAACTTGAGAACTACAGCTTCGAGGTTGTTAAAGACTTTATATACCTTGGTACCGCCATAAATAAAACGAATAATATCAGTTTTGAAATTCGGATAAGGATTGTGATGGCCAACAGATGCTACTATGGTCTAAGTAGGCAGTTTAGAAACAAGGCCACCTCTCGCCAGATCAAACTCACACTTTACAGGATGCTGATACTACCCGTGCTATTATATGGATCAGAAGCATGGGTACTTGCGCAAGCAGATGAGGCAGCGCTTGGGGTGTTTGAGAGAAAAATTCTCCGAAAGATCTACTGGTCGATCTGCGGCGACAGTGAATATCGGCGTCGAATGAACCACGAGCTCTACAATTTATACGCGGACACCGACATAGTCAGTCGTATTGAGCTGCAGTGACTACGGTGGCTAGGCCATGTTGTGCGGATGAATGAAGATGCCCCAGCTCAAAAGGCATATAAAAATGAGCCTACTGATGGTTCCCGTAGAAGGGGAAGGCCACGAATTAAATGGAAAGACCAAGTAGAAAACAACATCTTGGAACGTGGTCTTCCAAATTGGTGGACTTGCGCACAAGACCGACGCGCTTGGAAATCTTTTTTAAGCTCGGCTTATGGAACAACCGTTCTGTAACAAGCCAGCTAAGTAAGTACAAAAATAATTGTGTATATTATGACACAGCTTTTTAAAATTTGGCGACTTTTTGTACCACATAGAACTATGTTTATTAATCATAGTAGCTGTTTCCTCCCCTCTTTCATTCCCCGTATTCACATGTGCTACACCTATATGGCCTAAAATCGGTCATTTTGACCTCTTGTGAAATATTAAATAATCAAACTACTTTTATTATTGTATAAAGTAAATTTCTTTTATGACCAGATCAGTACAACAACATCGAAAACCGTTTGCTACTCTAGAAACACAAACGAACACACAAATCGGGAAAAATACATTTTATATTTCCAGTCGATTTCACTCATAGAGTATAGACTTCCTCTTTTTTGAACATTTTGTCCGCGTTCTTATTTTTCAAAAAGGGAAACTCGGGGGCTCTCCCACCAAAAACAAATAATAACAAAGTTGTGTATGATTGTAAATAATGTAAAAAATATTAAAAAATAAGTTAAAAAAATTTTCTTTCACAAAAATTTGAATTATAAAAAGGTAATAAATAATATCGGGATGGAATACAGATATAGACTTCTGTTGCGCCCAGAATTAGTATGCAGTGTTGAGGTATGAAGGTAGTTTTGGAAATACGTACTATAAGAAGACAAATGTACTACATTTTACTGAAATTATTAATATCTGGCATATGCTGTTTTCTGTGAAAACAAAAAACCAAATCACGTATTTCTAAATATATACTAATCAAGTCTAATGAATTCAACTTTTTTTAAGAAAAAATGTAACGTGTAATTTGCACACACATACTTTCTTATCTAGTACTCATCATTAATTGCAATTTTTTTTGTTTTCTTTTTTATATTACTTACTGTTTTCTTGTCCTGGCTCTGGGCATATTTGAAATAGTTGAAAGCTGTTTTGGCCGTGCAATATTTAAAGCAAATTTCGCTTTAAGTGCAGGTTCATCGAAACATGGAAATGCTCTACGTGCATCGGTGGCCTGAAATTGTGTTGAGGCTAACCATCTATAAGAGAGAAAAAAACAAAACAAAAGAATTATTTCAATTTGTAAAGGAGAAAGAAAGAAGAACTTCCAAGAAATGTGTCTCCAGCAAACTTACCTTGTCTCATTTCCCACCTGATACGAACTGCGATAGAATCCTTGCAATGTGTCCTGAATTAAACCACTAAATTTGATATTAATCACGTATTCCGTACTCTGTACAAGTTTGTCGTACAACTCAATAACGAAAAACTGTTTAGCCTCCTGCAGATATTGTTTACGTATACGCAATTCGGTTCCCTCAGCAGCGGCTGCTGCTGTTGGCCCATTACTGGAGGCACTTGTTTGTTCTTTATCAGTCGCCGACCGTCCACCAAGCCGTCGTATACTGACATCATTCTTGGAAATATTCAAATCGACGGCATGCATGGTTATGTTGTAGCAATCCTCCACAGCTACAATATTGATTTGAACTTCACCGTCAAAGGTAAAGTTACCCTCGAACAGGTACGGTTCCAGTGAGATGTTGTACTTGAGTGGTTTTATTGAACGTGGCAGGCGTACATCTCGCTCGTGATGCGGCACGGCTAGCGCCGTGGCATTCGTATCGTTACCTTTGTGCTTCAAGTGCACCGTGGTACAGACGATATTCTCATCTTCGGCCGGTATCAATTTGTCACAGGTGGCAAAGTTATAGATTAACACCGCTACCGTAACCAGGGTGCAGAGGAAAAATGCTACAGCGAGTATTAGGGTACCACGTGATATGGTATAGCCACTACGTCTTTGGCTGGTGAGTAGGGCAGAATTGCCCGTTCGTACAGCATCCATATTTAGGTTCTCATGAGGATGTGTAACCATTGGCAATTAAACAGTGTAGTGTGTGTGTGTGGGTAGGTGTGGTTGTGCAGTTTGCCAGAGTGTTATTACCTCTGCGGTGGCGGTGGCAGGATATTCTTATTATAAGGATATTAATTGTGTTTTCTTTGTAAACATGGATATTAGATGGTAATTGTTATCTAAAAAAAAGAGATAATAAATATTGATTAAGCTGTATGGAAAAGTGTGAAAGCAAATAATTATTGAAGATGGGAATGAATTCTAATAGAGGCTTAAAGAAATTGTATATTTTGATACAGGTGGCCCCACTCTATTTTACATGATCTCTTAATGGTATGTCATTCACGTATACAGGATTTCATTTCGAGGGGTCCCGCCGGTTCAAATGAAAATCTTCATTGCAAAAATACATTTCGAAAGAAAATTATCAACCATAATTTTTTTAATTAATGAATCACATTTTTTGAACGGGAACACACACATATCTATACTAAGAATAAAGTAAAGTGATTGATTGACTGACTTAACGATTCATCAACCCCCAGAGGAAACGGTTGAAGCTAGAATCTTGAAATTTGGGACTTGGTACCTTCCAAATCAAGTTTAAACGTTTAAACGTTTTTGCCGTTTTTTAATGTGCATTCTAAAACAGAAACCAACTTTTTTACCACACAATTTTTTTTTTAAATTTCTAGATCCCGATTACAGTTTGGATATAAACAAAAGGTAGTTTAGTTACATAAAAAAATATTGCTCACTGTCAATTCCATTTTCCGATTAGCAGCTACCTATTCCGGTGAATGTCTTGATATCACTACCAAAGGTTAGTTTTTTTATGAGAATCACGCTAACGTGTTCCGCAATTCAATACCACCCTCATTGGCACATTTTTATCAATGATTAACAAATAACTTAAGAAAAGCCTGAGAGAGACACAGCTAAAATAAATAGACTTGTTGAAATGTTTACAAAAAATCGCTGTCATCCGCCGAAATGCTACGACGTTGATGATGATGATGGTCTTAAGTCACAGTTAATTCAATTTAGTCATATTCTTGCCAATTACCACTTGAGTGTTAAAATCCATTCAAATGAAACGTAATTCCTATATATGTACGAGTATTTTTGTTCTTTATTTAACATATCGAAAAAAAAACAAAAACGAAAAATATTGAAATGAAAATAGAGACAGTTATAAGTGGGCATATAGCGAAGATGTCAAAATATTGATGTACACACAAGATATTTTCAAATTGACTTGATCAATTACACATTTTTTGTTTTTGTTTTGGTTTTTTTTTTACGGGGAAATACACACTGTATTGCTATTGTTAATAAAATTAGCGGTTGTTCCTATTGTGCTACTCTTGATAGGACTCATAAATTAATTTAATAATTTTGCAAAAGTGGGACGTTTTGTGCAGGAAGTAGCAGATTACCATTTTAAGTTGTCCTACCAATAGACTTTATTGTAGGTTTGGTAAAAATATTACAATGTGAAATCGATGGAACAAATCGAATACACCATTCGTTTCGAAAGTGTCTGTATAGTTCAGAAATCTATGTGCTCTAGCAACATTTTTGTTACTCTGGGAACCTTGGTTCGAATTCTAGCCGTGCTCTGCTGAAATAATTTCTATTTTACTCCACTCGAGAAAAACTGACTTAAATATTTTTTTTAAATGTTTAAACTTTGTGGAAGAGTGCGCCGATGGATCTCATCTTCGAACTTCAAAAAATATTGGTAAAATAACTGACTCAAAATTGGACACTGCATTCTCTTAATATTTGATTTAGAAATTTTAAACATTTTGACACTTTGTGGAGTAGGCACCACAAGAAATTGACAGATTAGTTTACTCTTTGATCTTGATATAGGAATGGGAAAATTATTACGGTGTACAAAGTTTGCATGAAATTGGATATTCAGTTTTTAGACTTTGTGGGAGATTCAATAAAAGGAGGAGATTAAAAAAGATAAATCTATTGAAATTTTACGACATTGTGCGGCGGTACCAAAAGTAGGTACCGGGGATAGCTACTACAAATATTGAAATTTTGTCGAAATTTTGACACGATGAAGGGAAGGTACCAAAAGGAGAGGAACGATGGGTCCATCTTCGGTATTTATATATGTATTGCGAAGAAATTGGATGTTACCTTTAATTCATATTAGATTTGCAATTTTTCAAAATGTTTAAAATTTTTTGTGAAGTGTACACTCCGTTCGCATGATATATAATTTTCCGCAAAATGTTGGCACCATTTTGTAGGTGAGACCGAGATAAGGTTCGCAATCATCTTAATGTAGCAGCAATGGTGCGATCTAACACAATACATAAACTCGACTTCGAAAAGCTGCAAACACAACAGGTAGCAGAAGCCTATCCCGATAATAATATAAAACCAGTAAGGAAAGTAGTAATGTCGACTATATGAAACCCTTCACCACTTTGGGTATATTCTACATATGTATCCCAATAGACGTCGCACGAAACTTTGCACACATCGAAAGATATATGAGGTCCTTGGTGCAGCGTTCACATAAAAATTGGACGAAACTATATATGGGAGCTATATCTAAATTTACACCGATTTTCACGAAACTTAGCACACATCATTGTAGACATAATTCAGTACCCTATACCAAAATTCGTGTAAATTTGGTGCACCATTTACCAAAACCCGGCGAAACTATATATGGGATCTATATCTAAATCTGAACAGATTTTCACGAAACTTAGCACACGTCATTCTACTATTAATTCAGTACGCTATGCAAAATTCGTGCAAATCTAATGATTTTCAGGGACTTTCGTGCACCATTTATCTAAAATCGGGCTAAACTATATATGGGAGCTATATCTAAATCTGAACCGATTTTCTACAATTTCAATAGGGTTCGTCCTTGGGCCAATTAAGCGACTTGTGCCAAATTTCATCCAAATCGGATTATAAATGCGACCTGTGCTTTGTTTACAATTTATCATCATCAGACGGACGGACATGCATAAATCGACTCAGAAAGTGTTTATATGCATATTCTCAAAAGGAACCATGGGTCTATCTCGATTCCTTTTGCCTGTAACAAACATATGCACAAAGACATAATAACATGTACCACAGTGTGGTGAAGGGTATAAACACAATGACAAAGAATTGCCACTCCCCACAAATTGCAGCAAAAGCAACACTTGAGTACCAAAGACCACCGCGGTACGATCAGGAGTGTCTTAAGTATGAAAAACGCAGCGTTTAGGACAACCCTGCGAGACAGAATTATGGGGGAAAAATGTGAAACGTATTTTCAGAAAAATTAAGAAAGACAAGAAAAAGGTGAGCGGGATGGACAGGAGTCAGAACAAAGTCCGGAAATTTTACCAACGAATAAAACGCCAAACGAAGGCTTTGGTGCTGGCTCAACCTCCTGGTGACAGATACAGATAGCGTGTTCAGGATCTGGATGGAGCATTTTGAAAAGCTTCTGGTATCAAATACTGGCGGCGAAGAAGATACCCCAGAAAATATAAGAAACGTCGGTATAGATTGTATGCCACCTAGCCGAGATGATGTCTGGATACATGCACCAGCTGATTAGTACAATTTGGCTAGAGTAATGCATGTCCAATGATTGGAACATCAGCATCCTGTGTCCCGTGCACAAAAAAGGAGACAAGAAGATTTGTGCCAACAATAGAGGAATAAGTCTACTTCCCATCGCATATAAAGTGCTATCCAGCGTGGTGTGTGAACGACTGAAGCCGACCAATGACATTATTGGACCACTTCAGTGCGGCTTCAGACCTGGTAAATCGATAATTGACCTGATTTTCACTCTGAGCCAATTGTAGAAAAGACCCACGAAAAACACATCGGCACATTCTATCTGTTCGTCGACTATAAGCCCCATTCGACAGCCCTTGAGAGGTGTTTAAAGCCATGTCTGTGTTCGGCATTCCTACAAACTTAATACGGCTATGCAGGATAACTTTAACTGACACAAGGTCAGCAGTTAAAGTCGGAAAGGACCTATCGGATCACTTTAATACCGAACGAGGATTTAGACAAGGTGACAGTTTGTCGTGTGATCTTTTAACTTCCTTATGCCATGCGAGAGGCAAAGGAGAACAGAAATGACACTCTGTACACCAAACAACACATGTTACTCGCTTACGTCGATGACATCGATATAATAGGTCGAAAATTGCGAGCCGTAACAGCCACCATGAACTAATTGAGAAGGAATCTGCCAAATAGGGTCTGGCAGTAAATGGCGAGAAGACCAAGCTGATGGGATCAACGCGCGTCGTCTAGTCGACTCGGACCAACTACAGCATCGAGGTAGTCGAAGATTTTATATATCTTGGTACCGCCATAAATAAAATTAATGTCATCAGTTTTGAAAGTGTGAGGAGGATTGTTGGCCAACAGATGCTACTGTGGTCTAAGTAAGCAGTTTAGAAACAAGGCCACACTCGCTTCTTTTATATAAATCTGAAGCATGGGTACTTACGCAAGCAGATGTGGCAGCTCTTGGAGTGTTTGACAGAAAAAATCTCCGAAATATCTATGGGCCGATCTGCGTTGACGGTGAATATCGCCTTCGAATGAACCATGAGTTGTACCACCTATTCTCGAACATCGGCGACTACGTTGGCTAGGTAATGTTATGGGAAGAAACTTGGGGTATAAAACTGATATTTCGATGAGGCACATTTTGATCGTTGCAAAGTGAATATACCCTCATTAGGCATAAAAACTGAGGTTATCAAAATACGATCGCGGAAGATCAAGTAACGTAGGACGGTTAATTCATAATTTTTTCATCGGAGAAAACAACATCGGCTCAAACCAGCACCTCGTTGACATGTGATAACGAAGAATTGATCGATCTGCCTACAAGCTAGACTTGGCGCCCAATGATGATTTTTATGTCCACATTGTCAAAGATAAAGGTAACGACACAAGAATTTGTTACACCACGAAATATTGGTCTAAATCCATCCTTTAGCATACTCGACTAAC